TAAAAATATATATTTATTTCATTCTTAATCTATATTTTAATATTAGAAAAACTTTAATTACAATGTCACATTATAAGTTACAACATGATATATTGTTATATAATTTTTTTTTCAAAAATATACTTATGATATTATATTTATCTATTCATTTAATATTATATCATGATTATAAAATTATAATATTAATAATATTATAATTATAGTATTGTTATTTTTAATTTTTTAATCAAGATAAATTTTATTTATTAATCAATAACCACAAAATATTTACATATATAAAAAAAAAGTCTTATCTCATAGATACGGTGTTACAACCATATATAATATACAATGAAGCACAACACAAGATTAGTCAAATAAAAGTAAATTACTTTCACACCAATTTAACACTAAAGAAATATGCTGAATATATATTGGACATGAGTTTAACAATGCAGCTGAGTTATGGGGATTAAAACAAGACTTGGGTTTTAAAAGGATTGGGTTTTTAAAGGATTGAAATTGAATCTAACTCCTTACTTGCTATCAATATTCTATCCCATAAAAAATTCGCTAGTAGACCTCATTACTCATTAGTTTTTGTTTGCAGATCATTGATACTACAGTTTGATGTTGCTATTCTTCATTATATTCAGTGTGAAGCAAATGGTGTCGTCAACACACTTGCCAAGTACAATACATCAATGAACCTTTTGTTAATTTTTAGGATCATGATTGGTGCATACCCGGATCCAACACTCGGGTGTGCACCCCAAAAAAAAAAAAAATGAAACGGGGAAAGGGCAATTTTTTTTTATGCGGGAGTGTGCACACCCGTGTGTTGAATCTAGGTGTGCACACATCATTTTCCTATCTTTTATTCTGTTTCTAATTTTTGTGCTTTTTATTTCTTCCATAATTAGGATAGTTGTTTTGTATATTAGACTAATTTTTATAAAACTTAATTTTTATCTGTAATATTTCCCATTTCCACAAAAAAAGAAAAAAAAGAGGGAAATAAATCTCAAGGAGTCAAGGCCTCAACCATATAAAGAAGCAAAAATCAAGGAATCAAGTATTTAACCAGATAACGAGATAAGGACATTGAATCAGACAAGGAAACAATTATCAACAAGAAAAAGAGAACAATCTCAAAAAATCAAGTACATAGCAATGTTCGAGGAAGAATGCAGCAAGGGTAAAATGACAACGGTCATATGCATAATATTAACCATAGAATTGGGATCTGAACATATTATAAATGGTGAATATAGTTGAATATAACTTTAGTATTCTCACAACTCCTTTGTCTCCAAAACTTTCTCATGTATCACACGAATAACATCCGAGGGAACTATACTATTCACGTACTTCCTTGGTCGAACATTTCAATACACTACTGTACACTTTTCAATCTACTTTTAAGATTAAATTAGCACCATCTCCTTGATGTTGTAGCTTTGCACACAAAAATCAGAACATTAATGATAATTCTTCTTTCTCTTCTTCCTCGTCTTACTGTTCCAGCGAATCTTTTATTTCTAAATATAAAAATAGTTACTAAATATATATAAAAAAAAATATAGCCCAAATCTTTTATTGTTTAGGACAACCAATTTGTTGGGTTCTACTGTTTATGACACAACCAATTTGTTGGGTTCTGACCAACTCGCTGGTAACTCAACCAAGACTCTCAACTCCTTGTAGACTTTTCCCATTCCGCTCTTTTCAGTGTTTCTTCCCTCTTTACTTCCCCCTTTTCCTCGTTATGCTTCTTTTATTTTCCGCTTTCCTTTCTTTTCCACGCAGTTCTCCTTCCTTTTCATCAAGTTCACCGTTCACAGATCTTCTTATCAAGCTGTTTCTTTTATCTTGTTTCTTTACATGTTCTAGTGTTCTTGGACCTTCTATATAACTCCATCCAAATCAAACCAAATCAACCCATTTTCATCCAAAATTTATTATAAAAATTAAAATTTATTAAATTTAAAGGGTTTTTTTTTTATTGAACAAATTCACATAAAGACATATTTAAACTGTTATTTTGAAAGTGAAAGAATGTATTTATACGTAACCTGCGTCACTGAAACAAAAGTCCAAGCGCTGAAGGGGTTTTTTTTTATCCCATGCGAATTCGTCCATTTAAATCCCCGATTGCAACTGTCCTGCTTGCAGTATAATCTCTCAACTTTTAAAAGATTTACACTTAAGTTTAGAAACTTCTATTCTTATCCATTCCAATATTTTTGTACAAATAATGAAAATTATGTAAAATCCACTAAAAATCACATTATTTCCATCCAAATATTAATAAAAACAAGGCTAAAATAAGAAATTAAAGTATGTAAAATGCATATCATCAATTTCAATAATTTTTATTAACTTTTTTCACTTAAAAATATATAAATTAATATGCATTCATCTATTTAATATCATGTAATTATTATTAATAAATATTGTTAATGAATTATTGTTCGAGATATAAAAATTACCACCTCACTTTCATAGATTAGAAATGGGCTAACTTTTGAAGAGTATGTACCACTCTCATATAGCCAACATTTTCATTTTCCCTTTTCACTTCGACGTTGTATTTAAATTTAAATGTAGGATTGCTAAATGATTAGTCAAGTTATTTTGTGCCTCTAATCTTCTGCTTCTTGGGCCCATTTTTTCACTTATTGTCATACATAAATCAAGAAATACAAATAAAAGTCAACGACTTAAATAATTCAGCGATAATCTCCTTTCGTTGGAAATAAGAAATACTAAGTTTAAATAGTATGACATGTAAGGGATGTGAGATAAGAGATGTGAGATGGTCGTTTTTTGTTATACAACCAATATAAAAAAAAAAAATACAAATAGAAGTTCCCAATTTCCAAAAGCATAAATTGCTTATACTTTTTTTATTAATATGAACTATAATTTGAAAATAACATATTAACATCTGCTTCATTCGAGCAACAAGCTGAGAAGGTTATTTACTTCTCTTTATGGCATCTCAAAGTGATCTAATCATCAGCTTGATTTTACTTCTGGCATTTTCAGTAGATATACTCGAGAAGATCTACTGCCATTGATATAGCAGGGGAATCCAAGGTAGCGATACAAGTTCAACAGAGTTTCTCCCTGCCTACAGTCCAGCAGCGCGGTTGGCATACTCCTGAACTAATGCAGCAAAAAGGGATCGCCTCTCAAGCAAGTGGGATGGAGAGTCAAATTCTTTTACCCTTCCTGTTGTTAAGAAGAAAGTAGAGTTAGCAATAAAATTCATGCAGAATCAGCTTAACAAATTTAAGTCTGATGCTTGTAATCTGTTTCTAGTAAGGATTTATTCTTTAGGAAGAATGCCTATTTAGTAATAGAAAGGATGCAATGGAAAGAAGGACAGACCTGCATCTACAACTAAAACCCTGTCACAATCCATGACTGTGGGAATTCTGTGAGCAATGCTGATGATTGTGCAGGCAGCAAAGTCTTCCCTTATGATCCTTTGGATCACGGCATCAGTTTGTGAATCCACGGATGCAGTTGCTTCATCTAGGAACAATAGCCTGCTGCGCTTCAGCATAACTCTTCCTAGACATAGTAGCTGCCTCTGCCCCACACTCCAATTATCTCCACTATCAGCCACTGAATACAAAGAACATTTTTTGTCACTCTTATGCAGTTCATAATTTTGATGTATATGCTAGTGGGATTAGGAAATTGTTTGTTAACCAGTTGAGTCACTTACCTAAAGAATCGAGTTTATCAGGTTTCGAAGCCACCACATCTTTAAGTTGGCAGCGCTCAAGGCTCTATAAAAATGATAAATTTTCAGTAAGTTTAAACAACTTCATTGGAAAATATGCATGGTGTGGTGAAGAAGGAAAGCATTGTGAAATCACATATTTTACCTTCCAAATTTCTTCATCAGAATATTGTCCTATTGGATCAATATTGCTTCTCACAGTTCCTTCAAAAAGGACAGGTTCTTGAGGAATGATACTGAAGCGTGACCTAATATCATGAAGCCCTAATGTGCAGATATCAATGCCATCAATAATTATTCTCCCTCCAGTCGGTTCCACCAGCCTGAAGAAAACTTGGATTAAAGTTGACTTCCCACTTCCTGTCCGGCCCACAATACCAATCTTCTCACCCCCATTAATGTTTAAAGTAATGCCTTTGATTACCAGGGGAGTGTTTGGTCGATATCTAACCTGGTTGCCACAATCCAAACAGAAATCAATATGCAGCCCAAAAGCAACATGCTCAAGAATAGATGCAATCTGAATTATGAAAGTTAGGGGTAGCTATGGGATGCAGTACAGTTTTTCCATAAACACTATTCAGTCTTGTTGCAAAATATCATGTGGTAAGTGGTGACTAACCAGTTCCATTTTCTTTCCTTTCCACTAACCTTATTAGTCATTAAGGAGCTACTATGATTGTTTGCGGATTGTACCCTTGGGGACAACTATTAAGTTATGTAAAGCAAGTTATATCCAGAATAAACTAAAGCCAGTTACCTGCAGGTCTATGAGCTCAATATTACCGCTGGCTGGCCAATTCGGAGGGGGAAGATGATCTTTAAGGTGCCATGCGGCTTCTGATGGAATACTCGAAAACTGCCTTATCCTTTCCACGGAAACCATCCTGTTTTCAACGAAGCAGCTAACATATATGGCCCAAAACAACACACTATTGAGGGACATCCCATAGGAGAGAGATAAACCAACATTCTCTGTATTATGCAAAACACAATACAGAAACAGGTAAGTCCTTAGAAATTTTGAGTAATATATCTAGTATTCAAAGTAAATATCTGACAACACAAGGTTTATCCACCTGTTGCATGTCAAAAAATATTAACACCTGTTATAATGTTAATTAGAAACCTCAGGCTAAATGTCTTGATTTTTTTGAAGTGCCAGTTGCATGTAATATGACAAAATCCATCACATATCTTCCGTTTTATCACCCCAAAAGAAAAACCATAACAACACATATAGGAAAATAGGCAAATGAAAGACGCACAATAGAGAGACAGATACATGCAGATACCAAATGATCAAGCAAAAAAACATAGGAGGATAAATGGTTTACAAAATACCAAAGAATATATGAATCTAAAAATCTTGTGCCTAAGGACAACCATATCATTAAGTGATCACAAATAAAGATGACATGGTAAACCTGAGGTTTGTTTGCTTTATGAAAGTGGTATGCCAGCATGTAAATATGTGCCTCTACATAGCCAGTAAACGATAACATATCTTGCGGTCATCACATGTCAGGAGTTTAGCAAATTATTAAGAGGTTGACTTTAGTGAATAATACCTGGCTTTATGATACTGCTAGGCAACAAGATCATGAATACTGCAGAAAAACAGAGGACGAGACTCCCAAGCAGTTCCAAACGGAAACCTAACCACTCATTTGATCCATTGTTGTGAAAATCCATACGCAAATTTGAATTTACACGGTTAATATTTTCCTCACAAAACTTATCCTGCTTTCTGAAAGAGCGGATTGTCATAACCCCAGAAACGCTTTCTGAGAAGTGATGGATGACAGGTGCTTTAGTGATTGAATCAAGACGTGTTAATTCACGAGATGATGCAAGATAATATCCCTGAAATCCAAGAAAATGTTTTTTTTTTAAAGAAAGTCAAAATAGATCATCCTTATTGTTCCAAGATTATGGAACATTTAAGGCTTAACATATTTTGGTGAGCATTAAGTCAGGGTAGTGTACAAAATTCTTTAAAGCTGCAATCCATGTAGGTATGGGAATGGTGGTAGAACATAGGGCAGCCTTATAACTGCTAGCTGTTGCACTTGATGTAAATGTAACAACCAAAATGAAGAATGTTATAGAGCTGGTAAAGTAAGAAATCATACCCTATACCAGAAATTCAGCCAGCCGAGAGGAATTATCAAGAAAATTGTTGGCCACGAATATTGACAAGTGATGATGAAGATGCTGAGCAGAGTAATGTACATGGCAACAGCTAACCCCATAACGAAGGGAATGAAGATATCAACATTGGTCTGATCAGTTGATGCCTGAGGAAAAACAAAACATGTTAGTCCCACCATACCATAATGATCTGATTAATTGAAGGCTGTCCATGTTTCCTTCTACAAGAAGAATGTAGCACAAAAATAATTAAAAATAATATATAGAAAAATGAAAAGAATCTTGATATCCTGATATGTGAGCTTTTGTGCTGCACAAAAATAATTAAAAAGATGTGAGTCTTTAAAAAATTATCAAAGCCTGCCACTTGAAACCTTACCCGACTTAGAATTCTTCCTGAAGGTGTAGTGTCAAAAAAGGACATTGGAGCATGCAAGATGCTTTGAAGAATTTGTCTGAAAAATATTTGTGCCGTCTTAAGCCCCATAATTGTAACAAAGAAAGCTCTACACACTATCAGTACAACAGATACAGCTGCAATGATTCCATAGACAGAAATGAATGTGGAAGGGTTGAATGATGCAGCACCCTCTGCTGAAGTTTCATGTGATAACCAATAATCCCCAGCCATTATAGAGGCTTGCCATGTCAAAGATACTAGCAATACTGCAGCAACACCCCACCAGCCAAAAGCCTCAGTGCAGTATAATTTATACACACGTAAACTGACTTTTCCAGTTTCCCTTTCTTCATCTTTGATAAGCCTGGAGTTCCCTTTATCAGGCTTTGGATGATCTAGGGACTTAGTTTCACCATTTGCTTCCCCAACATTAGAAGCAGAATTTGTTAATTTTGAGGAATTTTCACCAGGATTGGTGGCGCCTACTTCTACAAGTTCCATGGATGTTTCATGTGCAGCTACAAGAGCTCCGAAATCCATGCCAGAATTTAGCAAATTATCATACTTTCCCGACTGCACTATCATCCCATCTCGCATCACCTGCATTTAAAACAATTTTATAAACATTCATATTCTTACATGACCATGCATGCGTGGCTGTAATTCTTGTAAAAAAGAAATGATAAACATATGCTCACCAAGATAAGATCAACATTGTGCAAGAAGTCTACTTGATG